CTGGGTTTAGGTTCCAATCAGCTGCGCTTTGTCTCTTTAATCAATAAATGTGGGCGGGGCTTCGTTAATCCTGCTCTCAGATTTTTACCATTAAAGCCTTTTCTCTCAGGTCTGCAGGTGTTTACCTGTGCTCAGGAGGGTGGGGCCGCGGACGACATCGGCCAACCCGAGCTCAGTGATGTGTGCACTGAAGGCAGCTGTTACCCAGCAACAGGAGACCTTCTGATTGGCCGAGCCCATCAGTTGTCATCCACCTCCACCTGTGGAATGAACCGACCCGAACCATTCTGTATCGTCAGCCACCTGCAGGTAAATTTAATGGTTAACAAGATCATGACTGAAGGTCTCAGACAGAAAAGTCCAGAGAGACCCAAGAAGAACGCAACTGGGCACGAACGCCTTATAAAAGGAGGCAACACAGGGGCAGCTGTGGTTAAAGGGGCACAGCAGATCGCCCAGCAGACTCCGCCCCAGGCCCCTCCGTGCTCCTCCATGCTGCATGTCGGAGTGTACCAGTCTATTTAGCGCAACAATCACGAACTCATCACTTCAGCTTAGTCTTTAGCTTCTTTCAGAAATACTGAAAATACTGTAACTTAAAAACTGAGACAAGTCGTTGGTGACCTCTGACCTCTAATAAGATCCTATATGAAGGATTCAGGATGAATTTTCCACTGAAGTCCAAAGAATGGGACATTTATGCTGCTCAGGTAGTCTTCATACATGGATGAAGTGTAAGTGATCACTTCAGATGTCTTTAAACATTAGGTGGTCTAATTAGGTCTGAGTAGAGTTCAGTGCAGCGCTTTGTTTCAGTACCGGAGACTCGAGCGACTTTACCGGAGGATCCAGTATCATCAGACAAACTCCAGCCATCCAGTTTAAACGACCTCCAGCTCAGTCCCACTCCCTGTGTGTTACAGTCTGAAGTGTTTCCTGTGCAAAATGAGCTCCCTATAAGGAAACCATGAGCGCTGGCTGCAGACAGATGTTTGTCCAGATGTTCCTGTGGAGAAAACACAGCAAACTTTGTAGGTCAAAGGTCACACTGTTTTCATCCAATCAAAAGTCAATAAACCACACAGGCTGACTGTAAACATCAGGTTTTAATGTTTGAGGCAGATGTGTGTGGACATGTCATACGTAGATAATAACAGCGTGTTCGCTCTGAGTCGCTGACATTCTTCCGTCATGTGACTTTGATTATACATCCTCTAATTCCTTCCTTTCATTCAGTCATTCGTCCCAGATCCTCGCTCTGCGTGGTTGCTGCTTGAACATCACAAACTATAAAATGTATTGGTTAGCACTGGATCGCTCAGGTTTCCCCCCCTGAGAGAAGTCTGAGCAGCTGAAACACGTTGGGCTGTCAGGGAATCAAGCAACTTTCTGACATCTCTTAATGACTGAGACGTTCCAGGAAGAAAGTTTTCCAAAGTTT